TCCAAGTCACATACAGCCAAATGCAGCATGGGAAATAATTGTTATGTCACCAGAGAAAGTCACTTGGTGTCCCTAAGCCTCAGTATCTTCATTTACAGAATGAGGTGGCTGGATGAGATAAACTGTGCCATTGCTTCTTGTTTTAAAATTAACTTAGCCATCGAGGAGAAACTGAGGAGCAAAAAGGACACGAGTTGTTCTTTGAGTACAACTCGTGTCCTTGGCTTAGATGATTTTATTTATGTCATAGTTGTAATGTCAATAATAGAAACTTAGAAAAGTTTTAAAAACATGGATGAGAAAAAAGAAAATGAATAGTATAATGGCAGATGCAAATCCAGCCATATTAATAAGTACATTAAATGTAAATGTGCTAAACATTCCAATTAAAAGGTAAGATTAAACCAGGTGCTGGTGACTCATGCCTGTAATCCCAGCTACTCAGGAGGCGGTGATTAGGAGGATTACAGTTTGAAGACAGCCCTGGGAAAATAGTTTATGAGACCCTATCTTGAAAAAACACATCACAAAAAAAGGGATGGCAGAGTGGCTCAGGTGGTAAGAGTGCCTGCCTAGTAAACATGAGACCCTGAGTTCAAACTTCAGTACCACCAAAAAACCAAAAAAAAAAAAAAGCAGAGATAATCAGAACTGGTGTTTGTTTAAAAAGCAAAGCCAACTCTGTACTTTCTTTTCTTTTTTGGGGGAGGGAGAAGGAGGGGGAAGGGACTGGGGTTTGAGCTCAGGTCTTCATGCTTACAAAACAGGCCACTCTACCACTTGACCACACCTCCAGTCCATTTTGCTCTGGTATTTTGGAGATGGGGTCTTGAAAAATATTTGTCCAAACTGGCCTCAAATCACAATCCTCTCAATCTCAGCCTCCCAGATAGCTAGGATTACAAGTGTGAGCCACTAGCACATAGCTCAACTCTGTACTTTCTACAAGGGATATGTTTTAATGGCAAAGACATAAATATGTTAAAGTAAAAAAAAATCCAGAAAACTGTTTTGCATGCAAAGAATCATATAATATCACTCTAGCTAAGAAAAGCTTAGTTCTTTTTTTCACTTCATATTTTTACCATGTTTGCTTAATGTAGCTGAAGATTAATTAGACTAATTAGAATGCTAATAAAAATTTTAAAAAGACTAATTAGAAAAGTCTCCTTTAAAAAAAATTAGACAAGGATATCATGAATTTATACGTTTGCTATTCCATTTCTAAGCCTGTCTTTTCCTAGTGGTAAGCAGAGAAATGACAGAGTGTTTTCATCTTTCTTACGTCCTCAGCATTTGTCTAGCCTTTTTCAACCTTGAGTTTCTTTAACTGTAAATATAATAATAATATACAAATGCTTTCTTGGTAATCTTTACAGACTTCTGTCAGTTTTATAGTCTGGTTTAAAAAGGGTTATCTCATCTGTTTTCCAAAATCTAAATTTTAAAACATACCTGAATTGAAGAGTTTATCCAGAAATAAGCAAAGGTTTCTCTATAAATAATATGCATATTCTTTGAGAACTCAAAAGACTCAATTGTTATATTAACTTCACTTTTTTTTTTTTGGTGAGACTGGACAGTAAACTCAGGGCCCTATGCATGCTAAGCAAGCTCTCTACAACTTAAGCCACATACATCTTAACTCCATCTTACTATAGCACACCTATTAACTCCATCTTAATATAGCAATGGATAAGAATCTGAGAACATTAAGGAGAACCTCCTCTCTCTGTTTCTCAATCATTTATCTATATATCCAAATATTTAGTAGGCAATAATTACATGATGGGAAGTGTGGCAAATCTCAAGCAATTTTTTTTCAAAAGAAATTTCATATTTACTTCCTCTTCACCTTCTCTTAAAGTTATAACATGTACAACTATTCTGTAAGTCTCTCCTATTATTTATTAATTTTCATTCCATTCATGGAGAAAGCTCATTAAAAGCTGGCTAAAGAGCTGGTGGAATGCTCAAGTGGTAAAGTGTCTGCCTGGCAAGCATAAGGCCCTGAGTTCAAACTCCAC